TAGTTGTATCTCCACTAAGAGCCAACTGTGTCCCTGACTAAAAATGTACCAATACTGTTACAGTATAGTATATAGCAGGCACATTTGAGATACTTTAGCGATTTAAAAACACAAATTACACAAAACTGTGCTGTAATATTATCAAAACCATCTAAAATGTCTGAAAAGCAGACAAAGAAATGGTCCTGTCCTGATGTAACAATTCTGATCAGGCAGCTGGTTTTAGTACTGACCGTCTGCAGTAAGCATATGTTTTCCCTCAGAGAACCCACACAGCCGCAGAATGTGATGAAGAACATGAGAATGCCCACTATCATCAGTAACAGAGCAGGATCCACTGTCAGACAGGCCAGCGCTGCCTCTGTAGAGTAAAACAGACATATCAGATAGATGGACAGCTTTCGTGGCACTATGGCATTATCTATAACACTGTATATACGCAATTTGATCTATAAAAGATTCACTGTATCTCGGTAACCCCTATATTAATGGACATTGTGGATTAAATTATTAATGCCTGACTTTCTTCAAAAGCCCTGGTTACTGAAAACTAGTACTTTTGCATAATGCTCCTTTACAACCACCAGGTGTCAGTATAAGTTACAGTTGACTGCCATTCTGAATCAGACTTCCTGAAACTTTGTCAAGTGAATATCTTTGATGATATAGCTAAAACTTGAAGCAAGCTACAAAATCTTTGCTTTTATATTCATTAGATAAAGTTACTCTATAATATAACATTTATAAGCTCCTTTTCCATAGCTTACTTGCTGCTTTTACACTTTGTTGTGGAAAAACTGCATATGTTAGCAACATCACCATATAAAGTAGCTTAAACGTCTAGGACGAAAGCTACATAAATACAGATATCTTAGGTTCTAAACTCTGTTCTGCTGTCCAGTGGTCTTTCGTGTAAACACACTTACCATGTTTAACTATCCTGGAATAAACTCCAATAGTTATCAGGATCAGTGCAATTACCTATAACACAGATAAACCGTGAGTGTATGTTTAAACAGATGTTGTACAGAAACACAGGATGATTCTAATGTTGTTTCTCTTCAGGGTGTGGCAGGAACAAATCCTTATTCATTCGTTTTGCTAAATAAAAAAAGGACTTAAGTGTGTAAATGGCTTGACTAAGTAAAGTAAAGACTCATATTGTCATGTTTAAGGTCACTGTTTCGTGAGGGGCCTGTTGCACATCAAACTGTATTGTGAAAAAATAAAAGAGCGGAGGATTTATGAAGTTTGTACGTACTTATATCAGCATTTGTGAAAGTTCATGAGAAGAAAAGAGTACAGGAAACCATGATAACCACAAATGAATCATGGTTTTGCTACACCAGTAGTTTAACCATGGTATTTGTAGTAAAACTGTGGTTATACAAATGTAATCAATATGCTAAAAAAACATGGTTACTACATTTTTACCACAATAAAACCATGGTTAATTTTCGTAAGGGAAGGTTCGTTCACTTTCGGTTTCTCACACAACAAAAGGTCCCAGTTTGTCTGACACAATGTAGCCCCCTTTTACTGACACAGCTATTAGGTTACTACGAAACTCCATATCGTTTTTCTCTGAGAAATCAGTGTCTGTATTCTTAGACTGAGATCCCTTTAAAGCTAGAAAAGATCCTAGTTGTTACTTGAAGGAGCTAGTTATTCATTTATTAAAACATTTATTTATTAAATAATATTTACATAATAATTTGATCTGACTTTCATTCAATCCAATCCTGTTAAGCAAAAGATAGGTTTTTTTATTTTATCATAATAATGTTATTGAAAACCATGCATCCTCATGCATCTTCATTTTTATTTTAGTCATCCCCAGCAGCAATCATTTAATCAAAAT